CCTGAGTGCTGGGACTACAGGCGTGTGCCACCACGCCCAACTCTGTTCTTAACTAATATAAGGTAAAGGAGAAGCAATTGCTTTTTCTTGCCAATCCATATCTCTTGACTGATATTTTTATGGTTATATTTTTGGCAGATTGAATCAGGTTTTGGTACATGTCAGGCATTTGCTCTTGTGCTGAACTTTACCCATGTCATGACTTTTGAACTTTGGCATTGGTGTCATTTTTCAGAGCAAAAATGCATTCATTCATAAAATTAACAGTGATCTTCTGAATCACTGAATTGTTGATGTGTAATATTGTCCCTACCTTTGTGTATGTTTTTACACTTTCATATTGTTTTCAAATGTGTGGTCATATCTGTTGACCCATCTGTCTATACTCCCTCCCTTTTGGTGTTTGTTTTACTGTTTTAGGATCAGCATTTACTTTACTAATGTTCTTGAGAACTCATTGATCTGCCAGACAGCAACTGAATAAACATGCTTTGCTTCCTGGGAATTATTAGCCTTACAGTTCAGTAGGGGTCACCCCAGCTTATGATAGACAAGTGCAGAACTGGCGGGAATGTTTAAGTCCATGGAGGAATTTTGAGTGAGGCCTGAGTGCTTTCTGTTTTTTAGTTTGAGACAGGGTCTCACTATGTACCTTTGGCTGTCCTGGCACTCTCTACATAACCAGGCAGGCTTGGAAATCTCAGGGTTTTACCTGTCTCTGCCTCCTGAGGGTTGGGATTAGAGTTGTGCACCACCACACCCTTATTGTCTATCCTTTCTTGAAATTAATAATTTTGATAAAGTTCTGCTGATGTATACTAGATAGTGTTACTCTGTTTGCATGTCTCTCTGTATAAATTCCTAGGCATTTCTCCTGCTGTGCCGTAATCTATTCTGTGGACAGTGGAATGGAAGGTGTCATTCTCTCTTGATGTTTCCTTTCAAAATGAGTTGGTGACTGCATTTGATATTTACTGACCCATGTCAGAGAATGTGTTAAGCACACAGAATTATGTAAATATATTCTCAGTGAAGTGTACGTTTGCAATGCAGTCAGTCTCACCATTTCTATTATGTACATATATGGGATACTTCAGGATCCAGTGACCTATGAGGATGTGCATGTGAACTTCACTCATGAAGAGTGGGCTTTGCTGGATCCTTCCCAGAAGAGTCTCTACAAAGATGTGATGCTGGAAACCTACTGGAACCTCACTTGTATAGGTAAGAATGTGAGCTTTCTGTCACTTTTTAACTTAAGGGGACAAGCTATTTTCTTTGGATTGGTGCTCTTCTGTAATTTTGCATATGAAAGGGAGAGAATCTGGTGAATAAATCAGGCATGGTAGCAAGTTTCATAAAAGATAGTAATTTCAAGTGTGCCTAATTTCCAGTAATATATCACATACATTTTCTGGTACTGTATTTTAGGTTACAAATGGGAAGACCATAATATTGAAGAACATTGTCAGAGCTGTAGAAGAAATGGAAGGTAATTTTCATGTGCAAACTTGTATATATGTATGTGTATGATTAGTATCAGCTCCCTGGTTGCTGGTTTCCTCCATCACTGATGCAATAAGTCAAATTAAACCAAATTAATAAATTCAGATTTAATAAACAAGGCAGAGCAAATCAGCGCACTTTCAGGTGCTCTCAGGGAGTCAGGAGACAGAACAGGAGAGCACCCCTGGCAGATCTATGGGCCGGGTCTTAAAGAGCCAGTAGGTATGGGGATGGTCCCAGGCATCTCTGGGGGAGGAGCTGCCAGTAGAGGGCTTTCTGGAATGGGGCCCCCTGAACTGGAGATTCCAAACTCCCAACCTTTTGGGTCTATGTGGATGCAGGTTCAAGTCTGTCTGTTTCCTGCTGGCATGGGATGATGTGGGGAGGGAGGAGTTGGGATTTGGGTGGGCCCATGCTCAGCAGGGGTTATGGGTGGAGCAGCATTTGGATAGCTGCCATCCAGGAGACCTCAGGAACCTGCCCCTCTTTTTTTTTTTTGGTTTTTTGAGACATGGTTTCTCTGTGTAGTGTTGGTACCTTTCCGGGAACTTACTCTGTTGCCAGGCTGGTGTTAAATTCCCAGAGATCTGCCTGCCTCTGCCTTCTGAGTGCTGTGATTAAAGGCGTTTGCCACCGCCTCAAGACACAGGAATCTCTTTTTGAGGAGACAGAATGCAGGGTTCTAGGAAAAAGAAAATAGATTATTATCACTGGCCCTCTGAATGGGGCTACCCATTGGTAGTAGGAAGACTGCCAGGAAGAATGGAACTGAGAAGTGTCCTGGTTGTACAAAAAAGTGAAGGGTGAATGAGTGAGACATGAGCGCAGATATGCCCTTAATTGGAACATCTTGGAAATCTAGGTTTCAGTAGCTGGTTAGTTGCCCACTTGTGCCTAGAGAGGTGGTACCAGCAGTGAAGTGCCAGGAGCTTGGGGAGACGGCATGCGAAATCTAGGGATGAAGTGTTCCAGGAGTGCTGGAGCCATTGCATCTGCTGTCTCCCTGGAGGTTGGGAGAACATCCATCTTGTGAATGTGTCAAAGAGTTAAGAGATATAGAGCTTCTTATGAGTGGACATGTGGGTGAAATCAACTTGTTATTCCTTAGTTGGTGCCCTTGCTTGGTTTGCATCTTCGGGGCTGTTCCAGGAGCTGGTGTATGTGGAGGGCCCCTGCTGGTTTGGCCTTGGTCCAGGCAGGAAGAGTGAACCTACACAATATGCTCAAAAATAGGATCTGCAACGTAATATTAGTTTCCATCAGGCCAGACTTATTTAAAAAGTAGCCCAGCCCTTTTCCCAGGAAACTTCAGGTGTCTGTAAAACTACTGGAACTGATTTACATTTTGGTGTCATGGTAAAAAGCTATGGCCTTGGGTTAAGGCATGAACATATTTAAGTCTAAATTCACTGAACAAAGGAGGTTGTATGAGTGAAGGAGGAGGGAGTTGAACATGCCTGCAGGGTTCTATATCCTCTCTAATGCTAACCTCTCTCTAAAAGCTGGACCAATAAAATTCACAGAAATTTAAGGACCCATGAAAATTATTTGTAATCAGTGCTTTATCAGTTTGTCAAAACTGCATTTATCAAAGCTAAAACTTTGAACCTCTGAAGTTATATCTGAAACCATTTTATCCTATACCATGGAGTCTGTGAATGAGGCACATTTATATGTATTTTTAATAGGAAACTAACTAATGAACTACTAAGGTGCTTGTAGCCTTGGGATTGGGGGTGCCGTTAAACTGGCAAATCTATTAGTACCCTGGTCATCAAACACAACCAGATCTGAGAAGGATAAGTAAATGAACAGGAATGAGCCAGCTTTCCAGTTACCCAGACTGTCCCAAGTCTCTCCATGGTCACTGGGGGACAAGTCCCAGAGGTAACACTTGTTCAGATGCCAAGCCCAGAGGATCTGACAGATTCTTCATTGAGAAGAAATTTGGGTAGATCGGCCTACCTGTCTTGGTAGAGTGGGACAATTGTTCTCCCATTGCTCCACCTATTCATAGTCTGGACATGAACTCAACAGCAGTTTAAGGTGTAAAGCAGCTTTTCGCTGTGTGGCTGGCTTTGTTACATTACAGGCAAGCCTCCAGGTGGAAGTTCTTCTCTGGCCATCCATTTTTTCGGGACAATACAGGATGCTTCCTGGAGTTGGGATGTCTCTCATAAAAAGCTTTTATATTAAATGGCATATTCTCAGATCTCTAAGGGTATTTGAGAATGTTAGGTATATCTAAACTAGACAAATGTTGTTTAGGTTTAACTTTGAGGGCATATGTAAGTTAAGTCTGGACATACAATTTACCCTATTAGTTACAGCTTTAGTAACTTACCGGTGTTAGTAAAAGAAAGAAGATTCAGTCTGTAGTTTTTAGTGGTGATCCTAAGATGTACAGGACAAACCTAAGTTTTAATGTTGCAAACAATTTAGTTTCAATATCAGTTGTCAAAACCAGCATTGTTTTAAATCGTACTTTCATAAAACTTGTTTTTAGACCAGAACAGTGGTGGTGGTGGTGGTGGCTGTGGCGGTGGAGATAGCTCTGGTGGGAGGGACGAAAGGAGGAGGGACCAAACAGAACAAACTGCCTGGAGACATTTATGTGGTATTTCAGGGTGTGAGAGCAGACAGGAACAGAGAGAACAGACAGGAACAGGACAGGAATTATCAAACAGAAATGTATCCTAACCACAGGAATTATCAAACAGAAATATATCCTAACCCAATTCTATTGGAGACCTAATGTCCCCTTGGTGGGCCCAGTCCAAGAGGTTACCCTTACTAAAGATGATGGTGAAGTATCTTTAACCTCAGTCAAAATGGCGGCTGGCTACATGGTCACCCTTCGTAAAGATGGCTGTGAAGTCATTGACCTCTCTCTCTGACCATAGCCAAAATGGCGCCTGCCCAGGTGGCTGGCTGCCTGTAATTAGAGTAGTGGCAGACCACGTGATGTTCTCCAGCACAGTTTCAATCTGGAGTCACAAGCCTTATAGGTTTCAAAACATCCAATTAGCAAGACACATTCAGGACACATAAACTCAGGCATTCAAAAACTGTCAGAAACACACATGTGTGGCCACACCATTCATACATTTCCACCAACACCTTTAAGGACAAGACAAGCAAACCATGCCACAATAGATGTCACAGGTTCAATCATAGCCATGTGAGAGGCATGTTGTAGGACTGTCCATCCACTTACTGCCATGCCTTCCATTTATCATATAAGGTATACACATTGGTGAGGAGATTGGGTATGTCCAAGACCTTTTATAAGCAAAGCTTCCATATTAAACCTAGTGTTCCTCATTTTTTTGTAGTGAGTGATTTAGCATAGTTTAATGAGAGGAGCACTTCATGAGTGACTTGGAGATGTAGAAACATGAATCTCTATTCTACATCTGTATCTCATAAAAAACATTTGACTATGTGAATGCAATGTGGAAACCTTTATTTTATTTGTTATCTTCCTTTAGCAGGTGTGTCATCTGTCACTCTGGATACAATCCATGTGAGCATAAGGGGTGTGGAAAGAAGCATTGTACTTCTGTCTCTCTCAGAACAACTGGAAGATATGTGGTAGTCCCCACTATGAGAAGACATGACTGTGATACAATTTTACAATTAACTGGTTTTCCAACTTTAGTGGAAATTCAACAACAAACTCTATTTGGAGAAAATGAGTACCAGGAATATGGAAATTCATCTCTCTCTTCTGGTTCACTGTGCACATGTAGTGTGGCTCACGGAATAAGAAAATGTCATGAATGCAGTCAGTGTGGTCCAACTCTGAGTTCTTCAAGTTCTCTTCAAAGACGTGAAAAAAATCATATGTTAAGTGAAAATAATAAATGTGAGTCATCTACTAAATGCTTTAGCTATTACCGGCATCTTCAAACACACCAAATACCCAATAATGAAGAGAATCTCTATGAATATAATCAATGTGATAAAGCCTTTAGATGTGATTGCTCTTTAAAACACCAAAGAATTCATTTGGAAGGAAAACCCTGTGTGTATAATCAAAGATATAAAGGCTTTGCATGTCACAGTCTTCACCAGGTACATAGAAGTGAAACTAAGGAGAAAAGGTACGAATCTCAGCAATGTGATAAAGCCTTTGCATGTCCCATAATACATAATAGAAGTTATACTGGAGAGAAACCCTATGAATGTAATCAATGTGGTAAAGCCTTTGCAGAGAAGAGAAGCCTTCACAGTCATGAAAGATTTCATACTGGAGAGAAACCCTTTAAATGTAATGAATGTGGTAAAGCCTTTAGAGGGAAGAATAGTCTTCTCAGTCATGAAAGAATTCATAGTGGAGAGAAACCCTATGAATGTAATCAATGTGGTAAAACCTTTGCACAGAAGAATTATCTTCTCAGTCATGAAAGAATTCATACTGGAGAAAAACCTTATCAATGTAATCAATGTGGCAAAGCTTTTGTACAGAAGCGTGATCTTCACAGACATGAACGAATTCATACTGGAGAGAAACCCTATGAATGTCATCAATGTGGTAAAGCCTTTGTACAGAACAGTATTCTTCACAGACATGAAAGAATTCATAGTGGAGAGAAACCTTATGAATGTAATCAATGTGGTAAAGCCTTTGCAGAGAAGAGAAGTCTTCACAGTCATGAAAGATTTCACACTGGAGAGAAACCTTATAAATGTAATCAATGTGGTAAAGCCTTTAGAGTGAAGAATAGTCTTCTCAGTCATGAAAGAATTCATACTGGAGAGAAACCCTATGAATGTCATGAATGTGGTAAAACCTTTGCACAGGAGAGTTATCTTCTCAGTCATGAAAGAATTCATACTGGAGAGAAACCTTATGCATGTAATCAATGTGGTAAAGCATTTGCAAAGATTCGTGATCTTCACAGACATGAAATAACTCATACTGGGGAGAAACCCTATGTATGTAATGAATGTGGCAAAGCCTTTGCACAGAAGAGTCATCTTCTCAGTCACAAAAGAATTCATACTGGAGAGAAACCCTATAAATGTAATCAATGTGGTAAAGCATTTACACTGAAGAGTCATCTTCTCAGTCATGAAAGAATTCATACTGGAGAGAAACCCTTTGAATGTAATCAGTGTGGTAAAGCATTTGCACAGAAGAGTCATGTTCTCAGTCATGAAAGAATTCATACTGGAGAGAAACCCTATGAATGTAATCAATGTGGTAAAGCCTTTGTAGAGAAGAGTCATCTTCTGTGTCATGAAAGAATTCATAATGGTGAGAAACCCTATCAATGTAGTCAATGTGGTAAAGCCTTTGCACAGAAGAGTCATCTTCAAAGACATGAAATTCTTCATACTGGAGAGAAACCCTATGATTTTAATCAATGTGGTAAAGCATTTGCATATAACAGTCATCTTCTCAGTCACTTAAAAATTCATACTGGAGAGAAACCCTATGAATGTAATCAATGTGGTAAAGCATTTGCACAGATGCATGATCTTCACAGACATGAATTAATTCATACTGGTGAGAAACCCTGTGAAGTAATTAATGTGGCAAAGCTTTTACAGAGAAGAGAATTGTTCACAGACATGAAATAATTCATTCAGGAGAGAAACCCTTTGAATGTAATCAATGTGGTCAAGCCTTTGCAGAGAAGAGTGTTCTTCACAGACATGAAATAATTCATACTGGAGAGAAACCCTATGAATGTATTCAATGTGGTAAAGCCTTTGCACAGAAGAGTCACCTTCTCAGTCATGTAAGAATTCAAACTGGAGAGAAACCCTATGAATGTAATGAATGTGGTAAAGCCTTTACAGAGAAGAGAAGTCTTCGTAGTTATGAAAGAATTCATACTTGGGAAGAAACTCTGAATGTAATGAATGTGGTAATAACTTTGCACACAAGACTCATCTTTACAGTCTTGAAAAAAATCATTCTGTACAGTACCATATGGATGTAATCATGTGGCAGTTTCAGGTGTGATCTGCCATGTGGGTGCTGGAAACTGAATTGTGTTTTCTGCAAGAGGTACTTGCTGGAGTCCAGCTCCATAGGGGTTCAGGTCCCTAAGAGGAGGTGGGGAATTAGCAAAGGAAGGAGACTGTCCTGATCTTAGCATGAATCGGCATGACTGCTGCTTTATTGAAAAAGTATTATACCCTTTATACTGTATAACTGAATCTCAGTTTAGACTAAAGCAAGGTTAAAAACAGACTCGATTCCAGGATAAAAGCAGCTATCAACTTCATCACAGCATTTTTCTTGAGGCAAAAGTGATTAATTCAGCAAGTATCTAAATGCGTTTATGGATGTGAGCCCATTGTTTCCTTCCAGTGTGCTTTCATCCTTGGAACTAGGTATGCCCAGTTAGTAAATTATTAAGTTCTCTATTCATGGTGTATTCAGGGGGATACAATGGGGTTTCTTGTGTGAGAGTAGGCATAGTTATCATGCTATATGGTTCCATGGTTTTGGGCATTTTTTTCCAAGAATTTTGTTTAAATAGACTGCCTATGTATACATTCTCATCTTCTATTGTAGCTCACAAAAACATTTCCCACAATAAAAAGGATAAGCAGACTTCATCACATATAGTTAGAATTATTAAAATTGAAATAAAAAGATGCTGGCGAATTAAGATCTACAGTGTCAAAATGCTGGAACTTTGTCAAGTAGCATTGGTCATGTGCAGTCCACACCAGGTACTAAACTGCTAAACCATCTCTCATCCCATTTATTTATTTGTTTGTTTACTTATTTATTTATTGTTTTTATTATTTTTATTTTAAAAACTAATTAATTAATTTTTCTATTTTCAGCTTGATACAGTATAAATTCTTATCTTAATAGTGAAATGTTTCAGTGAGGCTTGCTCAGTAATTGAGTAAAACCAAAACTTATTATAAGCTATCATCATCCTAGGGTTCCCCATGCTATATATATAGCCTCCATTGTTCTGTGAGTTGCAGTCTGATTGTTCTTTACTTTATATCTAGAATCCACTTATGAGTAAGTACATACCATGTTTTTCCATCTGAGTTTGGGTTACCTCACTCAGGATGATTTTTTTTTTTAGTTCCATCCATTTGCCTGCAAATTTCATGCTGTCATTGTTTTTCTCTGCTGAGTAGTACTCCATTGTGTATATGTACCACATTTTCTTAATCCATTCTTCAGTTGATGGGCATCTAGGTTGTTTCCAGGTTTTGGCCATTACAAATAGTGCTGCTATGTACATAGTTGAGCATGTATCTTTGTGGTATGACTGAGCATTCCTTGGGTATATGCCCAAGAGTGGTATGGCTGGGTCTTGAGGTAGTTTAATTCCTAATTTTCTGAGAAACTGCCATACTGATTTCCACAGTGGTTGTACAAGTTTGCACTTCCACCAACAGTGGAGGAGTGTTCCCTTTGCTCCACATCCTCTCCACCATTGACTGTCATTAGTGTTTGTGATCATAGCTATTCTGACCCGTGTAAGGTGGTATCTCAGATTCTTTTTGATTTGCATTTCTCTGATGATTAAGGATGTTGAGCATTTCTTTTAAATGTCTTTCAGCCATTTGTGATTCTTGTGAATTCTCTGTTTAGCCCATTTTTTAATTGGACTGTTCAGAGTTTTGATGTCTAGTTTCTTGAGTTCTTTATATATTGTGGAGATCAATCCTCTGTTAGATGTGGGGTTGGTGAAGATCTTTTCCCATTCTGTTGGCTGTCTTTTTGTCTTATTGACTGTGTCTTTTGCCCTGCAAAAGCTTCTCAGTTTCAAGAGGTCCCATTTATT